TGATTTAATATCATCACTTCAAAGAAATGTTGTCCAAAGGCTGTCACAGGTGATAATTACCCAGGTGTGTGAAATTCAGAACATATTGTGGATTTGTACTTTTACACTTCAGTAAAATTAGTGTTGAAAGTACTTAAACACACGATCGATATTAAGATTAGTTTGGACATTGATGACGTCGGCCGTGCTGATTGGTATTGATCAGAGACATACAGCCATATAGTGTTGTTATCTTGAAGATCCGGTTGTGTGAAACTTAAGTAGTTAACATTTTATAAATATTACAATTATTTTTAACTGTACTCAATTTGTTTATATTTAAAGCAATCCAAAATATACAATATGTAAATGACATTGTTTCGTAAACAGTATAAGCCAAAATTGGTTTTCCTAAATTCAAAGGTGTTCTGTAGATTAGTTCTCGGTATGTAATCATATTACCATTCTTGGTTATTACTGAGTTTAACGTAAACTGAAGTTGTAGATTTTAGTTGTTGGTTTGGTATTTAAGAATTTGTGTAGAGGAGATTGGTTAAACACGAAAAGGGAAAATTACGCAAATCACCTTTCTAATTAGTGGGACGTGGAAAGATAATTTCGTTATTATTGGATATGTTTTATTTTCTCCTCCCGAACGTGTTTCCTTCTTGTCGTTTGCAAGGTCTTCATTGTGCAGTTTTTGTGCAGGTAGTATTCTAAGTTGTTTGTTAGAATTTGAGAATTTCTGTATCATAAGTTTGCTTGACAATGCTTTTCGTGTAAAGCATTTGCTTTTTTTGCATTAAACCATAATTTATATACATATATATTTGTTGAGTCGCTTTGTTTCTGTTATGCATGATTATACACCCAATAAGACCAAACAAAATGTAGAAATCAATATGATAAAAATACATCTGACTTCACTTTTCCGTTCCATTAAACGGTCGATAATGTCGCTCGGAGTTCATTTAATAAAATTCAATATAAAATACATAAAATGATTATCACTAAGAGATGATCAAATTCAATGTTTATTTGTAGTATAAACTCAGATATGTGGTATATTTCAGTTACAATCTTTAACTAAAAGATTGAAATTGAGGTATGCCATTAGTTTAAACAATTAAGACACACATGGAAATGTGTAAATCCCTTTTTGTAACATAGCTATCAGATGTTGGTTCCTCTATATTAAAATGTATATCGATGATTTTTAACTTATTTTTGTTTTAAAAAGTTACTATACTGTAATCAATGTTGTTACGCGAGGTATGTCATTCCGTGTTGTTTCGCAACCAGAGTCAAGTAAAAGTGATGAAGTAAAATTCAGCAGTATTCCATGACACAATAGCATGTCTATATTCGTTTCATGGATTCAAATTATTTCGATCTCAAATCTCATATATGTATTTTTGTATGAACGAAGGTAAAATATTAGCTTCATATACCGTGACAAATAAACTGTGAATCGACTCATTTCTGCTCAATAGGATGTCTGTGTCTAAGCGAATCATTCTCTTAAGCAACACTAAATGTTGAATTGAATGGTCTCTGGTTCTTATTTTTATACGTTGTTTGGTGTTTATTTCATATTCCTAGCATGGGTTTGATATATTTTATATTATAGACTTTTCAAAAGGTTCCAAGATAATGTAATGTTTACGTCAGTCATACCAAAAGAGTCAGGGTATCTACAATACAGGTGACACTTTGCCAACATTCCTTTTATACTGACACACGCTCTTCGATCTACGGTCTGAAACTTTGCTGACATTAAGCGAGTAGAGTTAAACGAAAGGACAATTTCGGAATGGGGTTTAATCGTACAGTGACAAATATTCGTTGATACTAAGAACGAAGACCATTTTGGTGGAATGTATTTTTAATATGGTAACCATTTTGGAAGCCACAGCCAAAACTGAATGCATTTCAAATTAAAGTCTACATTTATTACCGTAGCGCTGTGGATCGCGTTCTGTATGTAAGCTGGTGGAGGCCAATCACCCGACTTCTGTAAAAGCATTAGTCATGTACAATGGGCGACCAACAACAAAGAATGCATTAATCTCAATCGTCAGCAATCTGCCGGTGAATGTATGACAGATGCTGTATGTAATTGTAAAGCCCTGTTTGCTATGGAGGTATTGCGTATACATATATTACTGATCCCCCAAATGTGTCCCTCAATGCGCTCCCATTTACCCCCATCGTCGACTTCTCAACGGCGATATTTCTACTATAAACAAAGTAGTATCGACATGCAAAGCTGATGCATATCTGCCAAACATCCAAACATGCTAATTTCCCTTTATCTGGCAAGATACACCTTTTCAAAATATTTCCAAATTGGCTTATATTGACGATACACATGCATAAAGTGGAAAATTTGCCAAAAGGTGGTTACTAAAATAGGTTTTGTACCTAAATATAGGAACAATGTTCGTATGTATTTAATTGGAAACGGAGGAATATGTCGTACAAAACTTCCACGAAAGGTAAATAGTCAGCTTGGAATTTAAAAATTGATACTATTGCTTATTCTCTAACTAATTGCACGCCGACGTATTTGCATACATGTATGGGTGTTTTATCAAATATGACATCAATAAGACTAGCGTGTTTATGGAATTGAAGTTATTTCAGGCTTAGCCACACTTACCTGTAAAAGTAAAGTTAAATCTAAATCGCAACGCATAATTTACTTAATCGATGGAATACTTTAATTAATATTTTATCATACAACTTAAAATTTTGTTTATGTGAACTAACTTGTATTAATATTGCTTTTTCAGTTGAGGATTTTACTGATTAGAGATAACCTACACACCTATCTTATCCAGCTAATGTAATAAAATCCTATAACTCTTATTATGAATACTAGGACTTTGTTCGTTGTTAATAGGCCTACTATTTATCTGAATGTATGGGAACTATTTTATTTCCTTAAATTTAATTTACAAATGTTTAAATATCTAAATAGAACACCAACAAATGTACATTTGAGAATCTTTTACGAACCTATCCCCTTTCTAGTTTCTGTAAACACAGTTTACACGATTTATCCCATAGTTTAAAAATCTAGTCATATTATATGGGGACATTGTATTTGTTATCCACCTCGTTTGAAGAGAAATCTGTTACGAACCTAAACCACATTCTAATTTCTGTAACACAGTTTACACAACTTATTCATAGTTAAACAAATCTAGATAATTCATATGGGAACATCGTAGTTGTTCTCGACGTTGCTTGCCGTTTGGGAAAACAAATGTACCATAGTCATTAATACTGATTAATCTTATTTGGCGTTAAGAGAGTTCTTTTCGTCAAAGGAGCTTTACAGCAATACAACAGTTCCATTTCGATTTATCAAAAGAAAATAGTTCAATTTACTAGACATGTTTTAAAACTGTCCTCGTCCTTCTTTGTCCAGTTGATACGTTCTCTGATGGATGCTATTGGTCTGTCATAAAAAACAGGACAGCAGAGCACTACACCTTTCACGAAAGCCTGACTTTTTTTATCAGAAACATTCTCTCAGACAATTGTTTATCACAATAGATCATCGTCCTCCGTACCTTATGTTATTATAACAGTTCCAAAAACATGTTCTTCTTTCTCGATATTACTAATGTTTATAGAAAAAATATAATAAATCAGTTCTTGTTACCATCATGCATATAATTCCGAAGCCAGTAAAATTTGATATAATGTTAATTTATACAGGTCAATTACATTGTTGAGTTAGAGATAAAAAACAATCTTCTTCTATTACTCACCCAAGGGAGTTTATATGATTTCTAAAGATTTTGAAATATACTGACATGATTGCTAGGTAGCTATGGTCCAAATAATGTATGATTTTGGTAACTAAACATATATCAGAAAACCTAATTGTCAAATTTTATTGTGTAATGCAAAATGCATTATTGGATTTCCGAAAATAACCCTTGTTGACAGAAATCCAACTTACAAAAAACTTCACAGTTATTAAAGACAAAATTCAGAGAATAAGCAATTTTAGACAGCAAATCTTCAAAAAATAAAGATTTTTTTTATGTAATGTAATTAAGTCTGAATATTGATTATATATCAGCCGGGTATCAGAATTTGAATATATATAGCGTACGGCCCTGACACAGCGAGCTGTTTGAAGGGTAAATTGGTTGAAGTTGAGATCACTTTGTATTGGTAGAGACATTTATGGGCAATTTGTGTCATGACCGGTGTGTACGGGCGAGTGAAATCTCTATCAAAGCCTGTTATACCTCATGTATCAAATGTCGCCTCTACACCCTATCTCAAATAGACTTCTTTACAAAATTTTGCAGGAAATTAAATATCATTATTGATAAAAGTGGATGAATATTTTATGAAGAAATATGTGACGGGCTGATATGATCATGAAATGTTGTTTTGCCAAATAGAACGAAGTGTATGTACCTAGACCTGGCGTTCTAGATCTAAGGTGTGATATACAGTCATTAGAAATCCGATAGCACGTGCTCCCGTGTATCGGACCAACAACAGTCGAGATGGAGGTTATTCTGTAAATATATGTGATATATAAACAGATAAATTCTTACCACGACCCCCTGTAAGTCGACTTGTCAAGTTTAAAATTATTTGGGTTTAACGTTTGTCCCTCACAGGGGAGATTTATCTCCCAAAACGGGTTTCTTGTGTCTCGCTAGGTTAAATTAGCCCTGCGCTGAGTCTGAGTTGTTAAGAAATTCCGAATGGCACTTTGACCAGCCAGCCGTGACGTGGTGAAGATAGTACCCCTTCTTTCCATTGGTGTGTGTATGATGAATAGTCCACCATTGGCGGTCGATCTAATTCCTGATTTATCGACGTACGCAATTTCTTCAAACGAAATAGATAAAATAAACATTCTTTTAAAATCGTATTATGTAATAGTTTATTTTGACTTACGGTATAAACTAAATTTCGATCCGAAATAGGATTAACATGTAGCTGTCGGTCCCAATAAGTCGATGTTGTTTGTTCTTATGCAGGATTCCGGATCCGCCAATACCGTCGTCGTATCACTGGATCCAGTGTTTAGTTTACCCCCTGAAACAGAGAGCACTTGAGCTGAAGATTGGTAAGTATCCCTATCATTGCTATGCTATTCGGTCGTATCGTAAATTATATATTGTCAGGAGGTTTATTTTGACAAGCATGCATACAATAAAGTTATAACAGACAACGTGCCCTACATTTCTCTATGATAAAGTACAGGAATCATAACAACGAATGCTATTCACTGAAGGACTATTATTTATGTTTTTTGCCCGCGAGCATTTCTATCGTAATACATAACAATACATATGGATGTTTCTTTTAAATTATAAAGTACACACCCAAAGAGCACACAATAATACAAATACAAGTTTAATTGTGGTTTAAATAGTTCAACCTTTTTTTACGAATATGTTATTTTCTCTTTTTGATCATTGATAGGTACTGTTGTATCTCTATTATGTATTGATTATTAATTCCATAGCAAACATTAAACAAGCGGAATTATTAAATATGTTTTCAATCCAAATAGAAGAAATGACATATTAAAATATTTTCAACTAACACAGGGATCAGTTTCAAACCTGCCTTTTTTAATCTAAAATGAACACTGTTCAAAAAGAAAATATATATATTGTCTATCTAAAGTCATACATTAAACACGTAAATACCCACAAGTTAGATCGTTCAGGAAGTTTATTCAAACATATTCCATAGAATTAATTATATAATTTTACAAATGCATATCCTACAAAGGAAGTAACTGCAGCGTTATTGCAGATGGTAGCAATTATACTTACATCTGAGATATTCTTTATTATTATATTTGTAGAAAAAGCGACGTAAAAACGTTGTTATACAATGAAGACGAAACAAATTATTTAAATACTAAAATCAAATATTTATTGAACTTCGTGTGTGTGCTAACTCATGGTATACAAGCAATTTGAATTATGCTAGTTTTAAGAAAATGTAGTCTTCCGCAAATAGAAAACAAAATATAATCAACTTTGAGATGTAATATAAGAAATAATAAAATAAAAAGAATCATAAATTAATTGATGGGATAAACAGGTTGGAGGAAACGATTTATGCTATTTTACTATTTAAATTACAAATGTTGATATATATATTCATATGCAAGAAGTGTGTTTACAAACACCTAAATGATAGATATTGATTGTTAATTATACAAACACATTTGGATATAAATAGATACAGAAAGTAAGTTTAAAGACACCACTCTGAACCTGTATCAAAGGGATCGGATTATTTTATAACATAGTGTGCGAATCAATTGTTTCTAAACGACAATTTGAGTCAGTTTAATGTGATTTAAAAGAACATGTTGCGGTGTAAAGAGACTACCAATGTCTTTAAGGCATTTTATATGTTAGTGTGATTTATTACCACATCATGGGTGTTAATACCACACACAATACACACTCCCTGAGCGGCGACCGGACCTCAACTCGGACACCACAGTGATCTTCCAAGGATAAATGGCGATACACAGAAGTTTTTTCTTTCATTTGTATTTTTATTGATATCAGTACATGATCAAAAAGAAGCAATCGACATGAGAATACCGAAGAGTGATCGAAACCGTTATAAGAAACCCAAAACCTATGAACCAAAGCCAGAAAATTAAAAAACACAAACATATAACGATCATTTCAAACCAGTTAATAATCTATCGATACATTTTCGTTTTGTTTAACGAAGAATAATAATCTTAAAAACATCATATTAGTTTAATCATTCATATGATACATATGTTAAAATGGAACCTTAGTACAATTGTAAATATAATACATTATCCATGCCATTTTGTGACATTATAGTTCATATTGATTCGCATTAAATATGATGTTTGTTACAGTATAAAGGAGGGGAAGATGATTTATTGTGATCAAATAAGGGAGAAGCACTAGTAATAAAAAGTACTACAAAACTTTAAAATCTACTAGTTTCAATAAGTAGTCGTATTGCTTAAACTTACTATTAATGACAAGTCAACTTGATATCTTAAACGCACTAGTAACAAGTAAGCTTACCGAAAAGTTATATCTGAAACCCTTTTCATTAGATTAAATTTAATATCTAAAACTTGAAAGTAGTAACAAATAAATGTTTAATATTTAGGTTTATTATTAATAATAAGACAACGAAATTTCTAATAAGAGTTTCGTGCAAATACGATGTAAAACAAACGCTAACTATGGTGTAAAATGTAAACTTGTTTTCTTATGAGAGCTTACCAGAAATAACAAGTAAGCTTAATGGCTAACACCTGTAAGTACTTGTAATAGAAACATAAACTTATTATTATAAACCAAATCCCGTACATTGCTGTAATGGTGTATAGTAGAGTACATCCATACATCCTTTTTGTAAGGTTTGTACATATAAGATAATTGACGCGTTTGATACGATTCTATTGGTACGTTGATATGTATTGTTTATCTATGTACAACATTGGATACCTTATTTGCGGATAATTATTCCCGATGAATATATATAAATTGATGTCAAAATGAGACTGATATCTTGATAATTCTGAGGATATCCATTGATGGACGTTCATATAAATGACCTTTTATATGAAGGTGCCAACCATCCATTCATATTCGGAAAATTCTGAATACACATATGACATTTCCGCTTTGATTTTACGTTACATTGATGTTAGAATCTTTAATGATATGACTTACTGACCGGGATCCATTGGCATATACATTGTTTCACAGTACCATTAATTCTAAGCTGTCACTATGCCCACTTTCTGTCTAAAATAGAGATTAATTATGTGTTGTCATTGCATATCTCAATTTATCTCTAACTTCAACTCTGTAAAGACATATTTATAGATACAAATATTATCATATTGGCATTTTGGACAACTCGCTCCATCTGTTTTGGAATGGACATTGTGTACGGTCCACCAATGGCTATCTGCCACTAATATTGATCCGCCATATTGTGTGCGATCGCCATCGCGTGCGTATCCATGGTTGCACGTATGGAATCTATATCATCTTGTGTACTATGTTTATTTCACAAACGATGAAATTCTATTAGTCCGATCCGTACACTGGATCAATAATTCCGTCAGAGTCTTCACCGTCCCCGGTCCGGCGATTGTGATGGATACGTGCCAGAACAGGTCTGTTTACGATTGTCTATATTGGGAGACAGGTCCTGTCAAATCTGGAAGTTTTGCTGTGCTATATCTAGTATACTCGCTGGCCCTCGGGGAATATTCTAGTTTTTCTGCCAAACATTATGTATGGATATATTCACAAATTTGTACAGACGGAGTGGCTGCTTGTTGTTGTATTTCATGAAAAGTAAACATTTTTGATTGTTACCGATAAGAGAATGGCTTTAGGGGAAATATATTGAGGCCTGTCCTGTGACTAAAATGTAGAGCTCTTATAGTGTTGTTTTTTCTTCTATACTGTAGCGAAAGGTTTCAGTACCCGTTACCAGAATAAGTGTAATTTTCTTCTTTTATTTTTTTTTTGAAAGAGAAAAATATAATTGCTCGTTTTCGGCTCAACATCATCAAATTGATATCTAGTTGATATTCAATATAAATCTATAGATAAATCAAACTTTGCTGTCAATATCTTTATTTCGTAAGCGTGAACTGGTAATATTGCTAAGCATACCTTCCCGAAAGGTAACTTTAAAATGAATTTGTCTTGAAGGCTTAATTAAATATCTGTACTTGCAATGTAAAATGTACCCAATTATTTAGTATGTTGTGTAACCGACGCAATTTTCTGTTGTGAGGTGTCATCTTGTCCTTATGGCATTAAACACAGTTGGCCATCTTCAATTAAACTCTTATAATCCCTTTGAAGACCTATGACAAATAAGCTCACTTGCTGTGCATGCAATCTGGTCATTAATCTAACGGACACTTTGATTGGCTGCTGTATGCCAACAGTCTAATTGTAAAGCGTTTTAATTGGTCTTTGCTGACGAATCTCATTAGACTGATTGGCTGGGAGTCCACGCTTGGTATCCTCGGATACAGAGATATGATTCAGCAAGCAATCTAAGTCGACACAATATCTATTTTAGCTCATCTACAATCACCACAAAGTTGCGACAACAAATTTTACCGTGTGTAACATTTCATCAGAAAATGGTGTTAGTTCTAACAAGGCACACTTTTAATGGAAATTGGTTCTCACGTTACAAACCTGACTTATCGTAACACTGACAGATCTAAATTAATTACTATTTTTTTAAATAAAAAATATTTCCGATAAATGGTCGATAGGAATGTTTATAGGACAATATCGATGGTTTCGATATATGGTTGTTTTACCCTCAAAATAGTACACAACCATTTCTGTTGATATGTCAAATATAAACACTGAATCAAGCGCATCATGTTTTATTGTGATTTTTTTTTTATACTAGCAAAAGCAATATGTATCTGATCCAATACATAAAAAAATACTCGTTTCTTCAAAATGCAATTATACCGCTACCACCAGTTTTTAACACTGAAACATGTACATTGTAGACTGGTCTGCTCAACCAAATATTATATTTTACAATAAAGCTGTATGTGTTTAATCCTTTACAACTGAAAGCAAAAATAAATGTGTTCTTGTTTGACTAACGAATGAACCTCTTCTATGTACTAATTAATACGATCGAACATATAATTTGACATTAGTTCCTACCGTCAAACTATATGCTCGATCGTATTCGTAATATGCTCATTCCAGATTACCAATAAAAATATTAATAGCAATTATGAAAATCACAAGTAATATTGATATTGTGATTTGTTTAAGACTTTCTTCTGGTTCATTAACAGTTGAAATTAAATGTTAATATATTTATTGTTGATTACAATATACATGTATATTGTGTCTGATTATAAACTTTTTTTTGTATCTAAACATGGAATCTGTATGGTTATATCATAACGATACTTGCATATTGAGCGAACATTTTCAATATTAAATATGTCAACTAACCTGAAAAAAATATGATATAGAGATAGGGAAACCCTCAACCATTTGCTGTCTTTATACATGATCCCGTTTAGTCATC